CGGGGCCTCCTGAGAAGTTTCCCGTGCCTGTGCAGAAGGCTTAGACAACCTCTCAGAAGGTTGAACGCCTTCCGAGCCTTCCGCGAAGGCCTGCCCCCTCTGGGCCCGCCGCCGACTCTGGCTACTCCGAGTCCAGGTCCCAGCCCCAGCCCAGGCCAAAGCCGCATTCCCAGCTCACGGCCGAGCTCCCCAGACCGAGCGCGAGCCCGAGCCCGAGGCCCGAGCCCGAGCCCCAGCCCGAGGCCCGAGGCCCGAGGAGCCCGAGCCCGAGGAGCCCGAGGAGCCCGAGCGCCCCCCGAGCACCCCCTCCGAGGCCCCGCCAAGCGGCGAGCCGCCCCCCCGCTGGCGCGCGCCCGCCCCGCCGGCGCTCCGGCGGCCGCGCCCGCCGCCGCCCCGCCGGCGCGCCCGAGCGCCCCGGCGGCTCCGCCCGCGGACGCCCCGCCGGTGCGCCGGCGGCGCTGAGTTTAGAAAGGGGGCGCCTCCCAGGCCTGCAGGTTCGGGAGCAGCGAGAGAGGGGGATAGGCACAGGGGGGGACGCATCGACCCCGGATCGCCCACTGGTCGCCGATGGGGGCCCGGTAGCCCCAACCCAGGCCTTCGTCGAAGAAGAAGAAGAAGAAGAAGATAATAATAATAATACTAATAATAATAATAACAATAATAATAATATTAGTAATAATAATAATAATACTAATAGTAATAATAATAATAATCATATTAATAATAATAATAAGAAGAAGAAGAATAACGCGCCGTAAATATACACTTCTGGCGCCGCGCGCGGGTTTCTTGGATCCGCGCTGGGCCCCCGCCAAGGAGGGGGGTCCAGCGCAGATCCAAGAAATCCGTGCGGAGCGCCAAAAGTTTATGCTTATGGCGTTTTTTGTTTTTTTCTTTTTCTGATTCTCCCACTTCAGTCGTCGGGCTACGAAATCTACACGTAGTCACTGCGCCCTGGCCAGGCCCGTCCTCCTGAAACCAGCAGCGGTGTGTACGCCACGCTCTCCTGGCTGGGCCATGAGGGCGTGTACGCGGCTCCTGGGCCCAGGAAGGGCCAGCCCAGGGGGCGCGCTTCGGCGAGTCTGATTGGACGCTCGTTCTGACATACGCCGCCTCGGTTTAGTAGCCTTTGTTGGCCTTTGGCGGCCTTTGGTGTACTTATTCGCAGCCTCTAGTGGCCTTTGTGGCCTTTCAGCGGCCTTTAGTGGCCTTTAGCGTTCTTTAGCGGCCTCTGGTGGCCCTAAGCGGCCTCCGGCAGCCTGTGCAAGTATCAATCCGTGGGTCCCAGTCTCGACCCCCTCTCCTGGCGAGAGGTTCTTCAGTCCCTGGATCCATTCTTGGTGGTCCCGGGTCCCGCCCGAACGCGGCCCCTGGAGGCCGAGAGAGAGAGAGAGAGAGCAAGATACAGGAGAATCTGCCAGGATTGAAGAAATCACGACGTCGGAGGTCTGGGTTTGGGCTTCCTCGTTCTCCGTGTCCCCTCCCGCGGCCCTATCACGACCCGTTCCCTGCCCTCCTTTGCTCTACGTCCCTGCTTGCCTGCCTTCACCGCCCTCCCGCTCCCATTACCCCGCTCCCTAGCCCTCGTCCTCCTCGTCCTCCTCCTCCTCCTCCTCCTCCTCCTCCTCCTCCTCCTCCTCCTCCTCCTCCTCCTTCTCTTCTCGCTCAGGATGCCGGCTACGAGTACATGCCTGGCCTGAGTAGCAGGCACGTTCGCTCGGTGACGCACAGCCGCACGAACCTGCTGGTCATCCTGCAGGCGTTCCCAGGCCCCGTGCGGAGAGCCTGTGCTTCCTTCCCAGGGCCCCCCCCCCGCGTCCGCGGCAGTGCAATGTGCATTGTGCAATGTGTGTGTGTGTGTGTGTGTGTGTGTGTGTGTGTGTGTGTCCTGGCGCCGGCCCCGCCACGCCCCAGGGCTGCTCTGAGCGGGCCCCGCTCCTCCCAGTCTCGCTCCCAGGCCGGCGCCTTGTCGCATTCCTCCCTCCCTCTGCATGGTGGCCGAATTCGCCTAACGCGCCCCGTTTTGCTTTACTCGCAAGCGCAGTCCCTGTGCCTAGCCGCCGACGCAAAGTGTGTGTGTGTGTGTGTGTGTGTGTGTGTGTGTGTGTGTGCGTGTGTGTGAGATTGGAAACCAAAGGGTACCGATACCATTACTCCCCAGACCTCTCCCAGGGTGCGTTCTGACCAGAATCTCGAGGCGAATCCAGCGGTGGCGACGAGGGCCTCCCAGGAGGCCCAAAAGGGGAAAAACGGGCGAAGGCTAGCGGCATGTGTTTCTCTTCCACCTCTGAGCGGCAGTGCAACGTGCAATGTGTCTTCCCCCTCCTTGTCCTCCTTCCCCCTCACCCTCTGTGTCGCGTCCCTCGGAGCCTGTGCGGGGGTCCTGCCGCCCCAGGCGGCAGCGGTGCCGTCGGGGACAAGGGAGCCCTGCGGGGCACGCTGGCGCGAGCGGGCAGACCAGTGCGCGCCCGCCGAGGCGTTCATCGACCCTCGTCGCCTGAGGAAGATCAGAGGAGGGAAAGGTGCCCATACCGCTACCCCTCCCTCGTTTTCCCCCTGTTGGGCCTCCTGGGAGGCCCTCGTCACCATGGTTGGATTCGCCTCGAGATTCTGGTCAGAACACAGCCTGGGAGAGGTCCGGGGAGCAGCGTCGCCTGGGGAAGAGTCCAGACCAGTGCCGCCCAGCCACGAAGACTGGACGGCTCTACCTTGCTAGGCTGGGCCAAGGGCTGGCGGTGCGACCCCCAACGTATACAGCAGCCGTCAGCCAGGAGGCAGCGGGATGCAGGTCCATCTGGAATGGCCTCCACATGAGCCTTCTGGGCATGGCTCATGCAACCTGCTCTCCAAACCATCAAGGAGAGTATCGGGTGATGCAGCGATCCCAATCTATCGCATGGCAGTGGGAGGCATACAGTGGTGGAGCCATCCAGGGTGGTGCGCCCAGCCCGAGGAACGAGTCGCTGGCATTTCCATGCTAGCTGACCCAGCACTCGGCAGCTCTGCGCCTAGCTCGACGAATTACTCCCGCGGACCGCGAGCAGACCGCTGTGCATCTGTGGCGGGCGCTTTCTGGCCGTACCGCTCCGGAAAACATGTACTACAAAATGGTTATACCATGTGTTCGGGTCGGACGCAGGCCCCGGAGGAGGACGCATAGTACTACAGTCGGGGCGTTGAATAAGAGTTTCACCTTTTTTTCGAAAGGGCTCGGTCGTTCCTTAGGTTTGCATGAGTTCCGTTCCTTTTTTGGTGGCGATGTCATGGGCTTGCGTGGGGGAAATGGGAATTTCGTTCCTCATTCAACGTTCCTTAGGTCAACGCCCCGACTGTAGTATGCCCTTGCGCGTCCCATGCCACGTGCTATACCCCAGGCAACATCCCGTGGGGGGTCATCATCGTCTATCTCCACGACTTCCTCGTGCAGGACGGAGCGGGCCGCGGCTTCTGGCTCTCCCCACATGCCTTCGGCGTAGTTTTTCTTTCGGGGGGGAGGGGATTTCAGCCCGTTGCTTCTTTTCTCAGTGCGCGGCCCGCAGGCACCTCGACCCTGTGCCTGGGGCCAGTTTCTCATCCCAGCTGCTGTTGCCGGGGCCGAAGGGGCTTCCCGAACCCGCCAATGACGATTTGGACCTTTGCAGGCCGTCGGTGGTCTGGGAACTAGTCCCCTGGATGCCGAATCCATGGAAACACCGCCAGCACTGAACACCACGATTCGGGGCGCAGGCAAAGGAGCTGAGCCCTGACCAGGATCAGCCAACCCCTGTCTGACCCCCTGTGCCGAAGCCTTGCTTGTGGGATCAGCGGCGAAATCCGAACCCTATCCTCGCCAATCGACGATTCAGGCAATTCGATGGTCGGCGGGGTTCAGGGTTCGAAGCTCGTCGAACACATGGCGAAATCCGAATCCTACCCCCGCCTCCCATCGATTCATGATGGGCCTGTTTTCCACCACCACCACCATAAGTTGGAGGGGGAGGGGCTCCTCCTCCTCCTCCTCCTCCTCCTCCTCCTCCTCCTCCTCCTCCTCCTCCTCCTCCTCCTCCCTCTCCAACTCATGGTGGTGGTGGTGGTGGTGGTGGAAAACAGGCCCACCATTCAGGGTAATCGATGGTTGGTGGGGGGTAGGGTTCGGACGTCGCCACCTGGCCACGAAGTGCCGACGCCGACCCCCCTCCGATCCCCAGACCTGCATCTGGCACTTCGACTTGTTCGACGCGTGGGCCCAGGCCCCTCGACCCCTCCCTAAGGAACACCGTTTTGTCACGACCCGTTTGCTGACGGCGCTGAGGCCCGAAGCCGCCTTCCGGGTGTCCAAAGCAGTGACAAACTGGCTGCCCATTTTTTTTGGTTGGGGCTCGGGTCCCTGGCGGCCGTTCGGGACGATCTGGGCACCTCCGGAACGGCCTCGGCGAGGCGCAGCTTCTGAAGTGCATCCCGAGGCTGGAAGCCCTCGGGGAAGAAGGGCTCCCACGAGGGCGCGAAGTTATTCGCGCTTCGCTCTTCGCGGTCCTCGTTCCTTCTCTCCCTCCTCCTCGTCCTTCTTTTTTCTTTGGGGGGGCGGCGCGAGAGCGCGAAGTTATTCGCGCTTCGCGCTTCGCAGAGCACTAAGCGCGAAGTTGGGAGCCCTAGGGGAACAAGCGTTGGCAACTCCCCGAACCCCCTGAGGTCCGAGCCTGGGCCCCCTCCGCGGGCCCCGGTGTGTGGGCTGCCTCGCGGCTGGCCGGTGCTCGCGACCGTGGCTGGCCCGCGTCGGCCCGGGCCTGCGCCCGGCTCCCGGGTCGGCGCTGCTCCCGAACGATGTGTGTTGATGGGCTTGTTTTCCACCACCACCATAAGTTGGAGGGGGAGGGGGTCCTCCTCCTCCTCCTCCTCCTTCTCCTCCTCCTCCTCCTCCTCCTCCTCCTCTTCCTCGTCATCCTCCACCTCCTTCCCCCCTCCAACTTATGGTGGTGGTGGTGGAAAACAGTGGCCCACCATGTGTGACTCGGCATCGCTCGGAAGTGTGCATTCTTCCTCGGCGAGGATCGTCGACGAGCACCCCGGATCGTCCGGCAACACAAGAAGCACGGACGAGAACCGAGAATGCACGAGGAGTGGACGTCCGAGCGATGGCGAGGTGAGGGGGAAGTTTTGTTTTGGTGCCTGCGTCTGGCGCGCCCCCCCTCCCCAGGCCTGTTCCCTGGGCAGCCATCGCGTTGGCAGAAGTCAAGACGGAGGTCTGTGCTGTTTTCGGCCTCCAGGGGCCGTTGCCAGGCCCGGGGGCCGTCAACACACGGTTACGTCGGGCTTGTCTTTCTGCAGGAGGAATATTCAAAAATAGTTAAAACATAATCTGGGGAGGATTTTTTGACCATTTTTGTATATTTTAGGGTATGTTTTGGATTTTTTAATTTTTCGTCCAAGATCCCCCTTTAGGGGGACAGGCCCGACTTAAACATACGGCTCGGGGCGGAGCGCCGACCCTGGGGAAAGAGTCGGGACTTTTCGGGGGCCCGGTGTAGAGCGAATCAAGACATCGGACGTCTGGGAGTCTGTTGTAATCGAATTCGTGGTAAGAGCACGGTGGCTACGACCAAGCTGTCGCTGGATCTCGTCGACGCCGGTGTTGGCCATGGTCCATGCTGGATGACCCAGATGGACGATGACCAAGATCGGCACTAATGATTACGCGTTTAGCGTCTTTGCAGTCATGGTTATCGTTGTCTTTCCCTCCGTAACCTATCCTCATTCCCGCCTGGCCAGGATACCTCAGCCCCGCCAGCCCACCCTCCTGGGTGGGGATAGGCACCGCGAAACCCGAAGAAGCAGGCACATATCCCAAACCAGGTGGGTAAGTCGGCCAGTGGGGCCAAGGCAACGCAAGTGGGGATCGGTTGAATGATGCTCATCCTCTCGCCGCTTTACGTTGTGAGCAAAACTCGAGGGAAGAAACACTATGGCCATGATCAAGATGTCGCGGATTCTTGTTGACGCTGGTCTTGGCTGTGATCCATGCCGGATGGCTAAGATGGACGATGACTCAGATGGACGATGACCATGATCGGCACCGACGATTCCGCGTTCAGTCTTTGTCACGATCCTCGTTTTTCCCGCTCAAACAGTTAAGGTCGGGAGTTTTTGGGCCCCCGCGGGCCCTGACTGGCTCCTGGGGCCGCCACAGAACGGCTCAGGATGAAAGGCTCGATCCGGGGGAAACCCAGAGATCCCGACGCCGTGCTTTTTTTCGCAGCGTCTCCTTGAGATCCGCGTTGCGAGGGTCCAGACCTCCGGGGAGCCGCGTTCCCTGAGATCCGACGTTTCGTAAAAATTGCAACATCGCGAAAGGGTCACGCCCTATCTCTCTGCGGCGTTTTTTCGAGGCGCATCGATCTGTGAGGGTGCCAGGGCCCGAGCCCAGGCGCCAAAGCCCGGCTCCAAAGAATGGGGACGCCGGGAGCCCGGGGTTGTGAAAGCGCCACGACCTCGGAGGTCGAGGATGAATCCGTTCCAGAGCGTTCCAGAACGCTCTCCCAGAGCGTTCCACCTCTGAGCAGGCCGCGGTGCCCCAGACAATCTCCAGAGCCGCGGGATCTCAGAGATTCTCGATTCGTCCTCGCCTGGATTTGCCCTCGTCCTGGCTTCGTCTTTCGAGCAGACACGCGTGTTCGTCGATGGCCAGGGAGATATGGAGAAGATGGGCAGCGGAGGGGAAGACGCACATCCAGAAAATATAGGGGGCGCCCTGGAGCCTGTGTCTATCTGCCTGTGTGTCCCTGGGCCCCCTCGCAGTGACCCCTCGCCGCAGGGGGGCCTTCTGGTGCCCGGCCGTTGGCGCGCGCGCGCGGGGGCCGCCGACAAGGGCCCGCAGGCCGCCACAGCGCGTCGCGCGCAGGGGCCGGCAGGCCGCGTGCCAAAGGCGTGGCATCGCTGGGGCGTGTGCGGTGCCTCTCTCGGCGTCGACCCAGCAGGCTTCCACTGTATGTGCGTCGCCCCCCCAAGGGGCGACGCGCGCACCGAGAAATCTTACAGTATATCCGTCGTGGCGGGCGCTTTCTGGCCACGCCGCTCGGGAAACGATATGTACTACAAGATGGGTGTACTATATGTTCGGGTCGGACGCGCGCCTCCAAGGAGGACATATAATATTAGTGTGTCTCTGTTCGTACCATTCTCGGCGAGGGCCATCGAGCAGCACCCTTCAAGCAGTGGCGAAGCGTTCTGGCGTGCCTATGGGCCTACCAAACAATGTTCAAGTAACCTTCAGTGGTCTCTACGAACTGTTATTAGAACATCTCTGGCCGATATTGTTTTGTTTTGTCACATCGGGCCGATGTTCTAAGAACATTGTTTTTGTTCTTGGAACATTTGGGGGTTCTTAAAACATGTCGTGGTAGGCCTATAGGAATGCCGGGACGGTCGGTCCCTGCTCAAACCCTGGGTCATCGATCGAATCTGTCGCCGCGCCGTTTGTGCCGACGCACGGCCTTATTCGTCTTGGGGCGGGCGCCTCGGCCACCAGGGCGAGCCCCGCTTCGGGCCCGATTTTTCGGTTTCGTGCGCGGCTTTCTCTTTGCTCGACCCAAGTATGATTTTTTGGGGGCTCCGGTCAGCAAGGTAAATGGCTGCGGTGTCGGCCGCTCGTGCTCCGGCTGCTGCTTGCGCTGCTTGCTCTCCACCTATCCCCTCAGCCCGCCAAGCCGTTTACACATCCATGTTGGATCCGTCTGCAAGTCTGAGGTGGCACAGCATTGGTTCTGGCGAGCAGGACGGGCGGGCAGGTTCGAGGTGCTGGGCCCGGCAAGTGTTTTCTACTGTTGTTGCCTTTTTCGGCCTCTGGGGGCCGTTTTCGGCCTCGGGGCCGTCTACAACGGATCTCGGGTCAGCAAGTGCACCAGGTGGGCTCCAGGAGGGGTCCAGGGACCGATTCTGGAGCGGATTTGGCCTCATCCCCCCCTCCTGGCCGATTTCCTGGGGCCCAACCAGTTCAGAGCCCCTGGCCGCCTCCATCATCCATGCCCCCGCGGTCTGAACACCGCGGCGCGATCCCGCTGCATAATGACGCAGTCCCGTGCGCTCCGCGCGAGGCATCTGCGCGAAATTCTGGCCGTGGGGCGCGGCCGTGGGGTCTGGACCCCGGGGCTTCGGATATGGACATGCTCCCCGAGCTTGGCCGGGCCGGCCTGTGGGCCCAGAGGATCGGTGAGTATCGGGTAGGCCCAGGGTGAGGACACGCCGTTCTCCAGAACGCTCTCGGAGCGCCCCTGGAACGGCCGCGGCGCCCGATGCCTCCTCCAGACTCGCCGCCTCTCACATGTTCCCGCTTCCTCTTTCACCGAAGGGATCCTCATCCTCCCTTCGTCTGCTAGTGTATGCCTCGGACTCCTTGGCCAAGCCTGGAGGAGGGCGTTGTACGCCGATCCTGGGCCCAGGGTGGGCCTGGCCATGATCGGTGAGGCGGGGCAGTTTGCGCCTCCCAGTCGCGGCCCCCTCCTGCCCCCGGCCACCGCACGCCGAGCAGAGCTCGTCTCTTCACTTCGCGGCCGCAGCCGGGCGCGTGCCCCGTGGGCAGCCGGTAAGCTGGCCTCGCTGCGGCCTCGGTTTCGTGGCCCTCCGCCGTCTTCCCGTCGCAGCCTCCAGGCTTTTCAGGAGTCCCCTGACATCCGCCGATACCATGTTTTCCATCCGCGGCACCACAATCCCCGCTCCCTTCCCCGGGGGCAGCCTTGCGTCCCGGATGGCGGTCCCGGGACCCGATGCAACGCGCCCGGCAGGCCGCCACCGATACAATGCGCAGGGCAGGCCGGCATCGATATACAACGGGCCCGATAGTAACCCGCGGATCGAAACCATCAGCTCGACGGAGATTTGCGTCTGTCGGCGGCGAGCGAAGGGGGCAAGTGAGAAGGAGAAGTAGCCCTACCCCCCGCGTCGCGCACACGGGGTCGGTTGTGGTTCCCAGTGGCTGTTCATGCAAAGACGACCGCTGAACATGCTCAGGCTCGGGTGTTACTTATGTGTCGGGAGGGCGGGTGGGAGTGAGCTAGACAGCTTGCTATCTAGGGGGTGTCTTGACCCTACCCCCACCCCCCATGATTTCTAAGGGGGGTGGGGGTTCACTTCGTTTGGGAGCTCCCGAGCGGAGTGACCCCCTCCTCAGAAGTCCTCGGCGGGGGTTCGGGTTCACACGTGGCCACCTCAGCGATGCCGCTACCCTTCCCGCGTTTTCCCCTTTTCGGGCCTCCTGGGGGGCTCTGGTCGCCACCGCTGGACTCGCCTCGAAGTTTTGGCCAGAGCGCACCCCGGGAGAGGTCCGGGGAGCAGCGGTATTGGTACCTGTTGGTTTCCCCAGGGGGTGCAACGCAACAGGGCCCCCCCCCCCAGCCACCCCTGAGGACTCTTTCCGATTCGATCGATCCGATGCGCCCCTCTGCGCTCGCAGGGCGCCGTTGTGCATCCTGGCGCGGCCGTTCCGATCCGATGTGATTCCGACCCAGAGCCGATGTGGCCCGATCCGATGCACGTGCCTTCCGATCCAATTCGATTTCTCGATTCCATGTCGACCGTTCCTGCCCCTGGCAGCCCTGCTGCTCGTGCAAGGACCTGGGCCTATCCAGAACAACCTCAACTTTGACGGGATAATTTTATGTTCGTTGCATTGTGGCACTCTGCCTTGGAGCGCTTTTCGTTTTGCATACGCACTTCACTGGGGCATTGAGTATTCGGCGATGGGGCTCATGCTCTTGACCCACGTTCTGGTGGCCATGCTTCGGTTCTGCGCAGCCAGGGCCCTCCAGTTACCCCTAAGATCCGACGACGCGACAAACTCACAACATCGTAACTAATCATGACCAACGCCCTATGCTCCCATCTCTCTGCTGCATCTCCCGAGCTGGATCGACCTGCGAGGGTCCCGGGACCCCAAACTGGGCGCAAACGTCTGCTGTGAGAAAATACGACGCCGGGACCTCAGGCTTTGGTTTTTTGGATCCGCGGCCCCAGAACTCCCGACCCATTCCTGCGGGGCCGTTTTTCAACTGCAGGATCAGTTTTTCGTGGCCCTGGAGCCCGATAACTGGCCCTAGAGGCCGAAAACGAGGAAAAACGCCCGGATCGAACACACCAGATCGTCGTCGGTCGGAGGACGCGATATGGGGGGGCGATAACCGGGGGGGGGGGGCAGCGAGGGCAGCCGCAAAGGGGCCCTTGAGGGCCCCTGAAGGGGCCATCTGGGGCCCAAGGGGAGGCCTTCAGGGCCCGACTGGGGCACCGTTCTCCCCCCTCCACCGATTCGCGCCCAACGTCGGAGATCTGGGTCTGCTGCTCCGGCGAGGACCTGGGCCTCTCCAGGCACAAGGCCCTGGGCGCCATCACGACGCTCGCGGCGGCCGCGTTCGCGGGCATCCTCACCGGCGGCTTCGTCGGCGAGAGGCTCTACGGTGCCTGCCCTGGGCGGCCTGGCTGGCCACTGCGGAGGCCGCGGCTTCAGGTCTCGTCCGCCGTGCAAATTCACTCATGGAGTTCGGGCCCCTCGGCAGAGCCGAAGTGCAGCCATGCCCCCCTGAGCCCTCGCACACGCAGCAATTTTTCCGTGCGCGATCCGTTTGGTTGACTGAGCGACCAGCCTGAGCTTCGGCGCGCCAGTGCCTCGCGCGCGCCAGCCTGCGCTTCCGCAGCCCACGGGCGCTTCGACGCGGCAGCGAGCTGCCGCAGCCAGGGCGCAGTCCTGGCTCCCCGCAGGGGCGAGATGCACCAGGAGGGGCAGGGCCCGGAGTGGGCGAGCAGTAGACCCTGAGACGCTGCGTCGCGAACAGGTCGCAGCCCCGTGGGAAAGCACGACCGGCGCACCATCTCCCGCACCGGATCGATCTGCGAGGGTCCCATGGGCCCGACACTCGGCGAGCACGCCTGGTGCTAAGAAGTTGCAACGCCCCGATGGCCTGGGCGCCCCTCGGGCGCCGCCCGCTCCCCCCCCCCCCCGGCGGCACTCCTCTCTGCGCGAGTCTCGGGGGGCGTCGGCTTGTGCCCCAAGACCGGCCTGGCGTTTTTAGTCTGCTCTGTTTTTTCTCCTGGTTTTGGTCTTTGTTCAGTGTTGCTTCGCAGCGAAAGGAGGTCTGGGCCGGAGGTCAGGGCCGCGTCGGATCGCCCGATCGTGGGATTGCGAGTCCAGAGTCGGGCCAGCCGAGCTCGACCCTGTGGCAGCCACCTTGCCCTCTCGATTGGATTCCTCCCCTCGCTGCTACCCTGGCGGGTCGGTTGGCGCGCAGAAAGAGAAAGGCCGCGCTGTCAGCCACCGGTCCAGTCAAGACCACAAGGGGGTCGCTGCTGGCCGAGGCCACCGTACGGGAAATCACGGCCAGCGCCCTGGGCCCCATGGAGCGACAGAGGAAAATGGGGTCATCTTCGCCGACGCTGGCGCGTAAGCTGCCCGCGTCAGATAGCGCGTAAGCGCCCTCCTTCTCAGCGGGGTGTGCCGCGCCCCTGGTCGGCGTAAGCCGCGACGTAAGGTCGCTGTGCCATCTCGCGTAAGACCCGTTTCTTTCCGTCGCTCAAGTGTCAGCGGCATTTTTGGAGCCAGATCGATCGGTGTCAGCCCGTGGGCCCGAAGCCAGGCGAAAACGCTCGGCGTGGACAAAATTGCAGCGCCCAGATCTCAGGGCTTGTGGTTTTGACCAGCCCGCTGGCTGCCAGCGTGGCCTCTCTGTTGTGCGACTGTACAGGCCGCTCTCCGCGGTCGGCAGCGAGCCTCGAGTGACGCTGTGGTAACGCCTATATGGAGTGTACGAGGGCACACCCCGCGAGCACGTGCGCGTGCGTGCGCACGCCCCCCCCAGCTTCCCCTGCACCGGGGACCACGCAGCTGGGCTCTTGCGCGTCCACCAAACGTGCGGACGCGATGAATGTCGTGTCTCCCGCCGCCTTCGCTGCGATCGTGCCTCACATTGACGGATGAGTTGCGCGCGCCGCGCGCAAGGGATCTGGCTGGATGCGGCCTCGCTTTGGGCCCGCCCGCGTGGCCACCGAACCCGTGGCCGGGGGGTCCGTGTCAGAGGCAGCGGGAGCCAGAGCTGGAGGAGGAAGAGGAGGAGGAGGAGGAAGAGGGCGTTACCCAGCAACACACAATGGGTGATGAGGGAGGACAGTGATGATGTTAATGCTGATGGTGTGCTGATGGTGGTGATGATGATGCTGATGATGATGATGTTGTTTTTGATGGTGATGATGATGATGATGCTAATGATGATGATGCAGATGATGCTGATGATGATGCTGCAGATGATGATGGTAATTGGTAGGATGGTGACGTTGATGATAGTGGTGGTGTTGTTGATGATGATGACGACTGTGGAGATGTTGGTGATGAGCGTTGTGGTTGGGATTTTGATTATGATGATGTTGACGATGGTGAGGAGGATGGTGATGAGTACCGCGCGAAGATGAGGACGATGACGATCATGGTATTTGAGGAGGAGGACGAGTGTGGTAGCCGTGTGATTCTGGTGACGATCCTTTATGGTGGAGGTGATGATGATGGTGGTGATGGTGGTGGTACGGATGATGATGCTGCTGCTGATGATGATTCTGCTGCTGCTGATGATGATGACGATGATGATGATGACGATGATGATGATGACGATGATGATGATGATGATGATGATGATGATGATGATGATGATGATGATGATGATGATGATGATGATGATGATGATGATGATGATGATGATGATGATGATGATGATGATGATTATTGTGATTGTGGTGGGGAGGACGGTCGGGGGAGGAGGAGGAGGAAAAAGAGCAAGGAAGGGAGGAGGAGGAGGAGGAGGACGTGGAGAGGAAGGAAAGGAGGGCGGAGGGGGATGGGGCAAGTGGCATGGGCGGGTGAGAAAGCGGAGTCTGCGAGCGACGATGGTTGCGGCGCAGGTCGGAGGAGGGTGCCAGCGCCGTCCGAGGTGCCAGCAGCAAATACTTGGCCATCTTCGGGGGCATCTGCAATATGGCGCGGGCCGTGCCGTTCTTCCTCATCTTCGGCCCGAGCCTCGGGCGGGGCGCGCCTCCGGCGGGGGAACAGATCGGCACCGGAGCGATGCGCTGTCTGCGGTGTGCCGCTGCGTGTCTCTGGCAGTGCGAAGCCAACGCCGCCACGAGTTTTTGTGGGGGGGCAGGAGCTGCCCGCCCCAGGGGGGGGCCGCCAATCGGTGCCCCCGCCCCGCGTGCCCCCGCCCCCGGCGTCCGTCGCCGATCGGCTCGAGGGCTGGGCGGGCAGGGCAGGGAAGCGCTGCGCCACCCAGCGTCGAGAGTTTTGTGCCCCGCCCGCCCACACGGCATAGCCGACGCCAGGAGGGGTGGGTCGGCGGATCTCCCGCGAGAAAGCCTGGGCCTACCAGTACGTTGAGGGGCTGGCTGGTGGAGAAGAGGAGTAGCAGAGCTCCATGGAGAAAGAAGGAGCCATCATCATCCATCATAATCAGAGCAGGCCGAGATTGATAAGCAGGCATATACTCATGTATTTGTGTTCGTAGAGGTATGTAGATGAACGTGTGCATATACGTATACATCTATGTATTGTTATATTTATATACATGTATTTGTATACGTGTACGTATACGTATACGTAGATGCACCGTATACGTATATGTGTATGTAGGTGTCTATGTATGTCTATGAACAAGTGCTTATATATATGCACACGTGCACGTATTTATATATTTGTGCGTTTGCGCATACGTGTACTTGTATGCATATGGTCATATGTATATGTATATGTATATGTGGATGCTTACATACATGTACGCGTTTATAGATATATGCATGTTTACATACATGTATACGTATCCGTGTGTGTGTCTGCATCTTGCCACTTTGCCTGGACTGGGTCGAGTGGGAGGGGCACGCAGCACGACGACGACAGGAGTCAGCCATGAAGGCCTTCGCGGATCCTCTGCTCTGGGAGCTTCCTGGAGGCCTCAGAGAGCGTTGGCGTCCTCCTAGCCCCCTCCCCCTCCCCCTCGCGGCGCCCAAGGCTGGGCGGACTTCTTCGGCCCCCTGGCGAGCTCCTCGGAGGGCGCCTTCTTCCTGGTCCTCATGGCTGGCGGCTTCGCGCGGGCCTCGGGCGCCTTGGCCGGCGCGTTCGGGGTGGCGACGGCTCGTGGCGGGCAGCCCCAGGCTGTGGGCACTGGGCGCGCTCTTCCCGGGAGCCTTCGCCGAGTGCGTTCAGATGCCGCTGCCCTCCCCTCGTCGCCACGGCCGGATTCGCCCCGAAGTCCCTGGTCGGAGCGCACCCCAGGGGACTCCGAGACCTGGGCGTTGCGATCTTTTCTCCACGGGCGTTTTGGCTGGTTTTCGGGCCCCAGGGCCTTCACAGATCCGTCCGGCTCGGAAAGTTCCGTAGGCAAGAAAGGTTCTGGGGCTCCGGTCGTATTTTTCTCGATGCTGTATTTTTTTCGCGACGTCATGACTCAGGGGAGGTCCATGGATTCCACTCGGTGCCTTCATTTTCCCCTGTGCATGGGTGATCAGAGCCCCTGGACGTCTTCCCCTCCTCAGATGTGGTGATCAATGTGTAAGCGTAAAGTTAGGTGTTCCTCTCGGAGTTCTTGGGTCGGCGCTGGACCCCTCTCCATGGCTCGCCTCAGGCTCGCCAGGGGCGCTTCTTTGGGACCGTTGCGGGGCCTCTTGTGGCTTCTTGTGGCCTTTTGGGCGCTTCTGGGGGCTCCTGGGGACATGCTGGAGGTCTTGGGCGACACATCGGTGGAACAGGCTCACAAAGCTCCTTTGCCTTCTCCCTCTTCGGCCCCGCTTGTCCCCCCAATTATATATGTTTCGAGGTATCGCGATAGCCGGTGGTGCTCGAACAGATGTGACTCGGGCCGCATTGGAGAACATCTTCGTGCAGTGCAGATGTCGATCGATCATCGCAGGCCTCTGCAGTGGTACATTCTCCATCACCTTCGTGCTCCCTTCTCTCTCTGTCTCTGTCTCTCTCCCCCTCTCTCACCCCTCCCCCTCCAGAGGACTCCAGGGGTCCCCCACGAGACGTCCCAGAGAGCCTCCCGAGGCTTCCGTGGGCGACACCTGCAGAGGACGGGGCAAACATGCCGATCCTCTGTCCTCGATGCTCCTCCCTCCTCCTTCCGCCCTCTCCCTCCCCCCCCAGTTTCTTGCACCCTCCTGCCTGCCCTCCACCGCCCGTCTTCGTGCTCCCTCCCGCGCTCCTCCCTCCCCGCCAGGCTGCGGCCTCGCCCCCCCCTCCCTCCCTGCCCCTCTCCTCGGGCGGCCCCCGAGCTCGGAGAAGAAACACCTGGCCAGGCTGAGCTCGGCCAGGCGAAACTCGGCCAGGCTGAGCTCGGCCGGCTGCTCTCGGCCAGGCTGCATTCGGCCACGCGGAAATTGGCCCCGGCCGAGTTCGGCCTGGCCGAGCTCGGCCGGGGCCGAGTTTCGCCTGGCCGAGTCTCTCTTTTGCCCCCTGCCGCAAGAAGGTCGCGACCCTGGCCTCGCCGTGCACTGGCGCCATGCTGCTGAACGTCAACCTGCCGGAGACGCGCGGCTCCGTGATGGCCATGTGCCCCTCCCCGCCGTGGTGGAAAGGCCTCCTGTACCTGCTGCCAGGACGCTGCCGGAAGGACCACCCTGGGTTCCGGAGGGGCCCGTCTAGATTCCCAGCCCTCCGGTGCCGCAGCCGCAGCACCCTGGGCGGTGCACGCGTGCGGGGGTGCCCTGCGTGGTCCACACCTCCCGGGGATGCTCCCGGGGGTCCTGGGGCCGCCCAGGCGGACGGACGCCTCGAGGCCGCCCCGGGGGCGGTCCCGGGGGGGCTTCTTGGGAGTCGTGTCCCCGGGGGACCGGTGGTCAAGAGGGGGGAGGATTGCTGTGGGGTGGCTGGACAGCGCGGCCAGGGCCACGACACCTCTCCAGAGCTCAAGGCGCCTCTTCTCGTTCTAGTGCGGCCTCTGGCCCCCCCCCTGGGGCCGTGCGCGTGCCTCGGGCCGTGATCTGCGACCCCCCCTCGTGGACGCCAGCCTCTTGGACGCCCCCGATTCGGATGTCGAGCTTCCAAGTGGGATTGCAGAAAGCCTTCGTAATGGATGTCAGGCCACCTCTTCTTTAAAAGGTTTTTGATCCTCCGGGCTGGTGCCATCCTGAGAGGTCCTCGCGCGTCTTGGGGACATCGACGGGTCTTTCTCCCGGGGACTCTCCCGGGGAGTCTCCCTGGGGGCTTCTTGAGCCGCCTTGCGGCTGCCACGGGCGCAGCGGACGGCTCGGAGGCTCTCACGTAGCGCCCGATGTGGGTCTTGGGGCCGTATTGGAACCGCCGGGTGACCCTCTGGAGCAATCCTGTCCGCCTCAGTGACGTCTTGACTTGTTTCGGGGCCATCCAAGACGCCGAGGGACTGGCGGGTGGGGGGTCAGGGCGAGGCGGCCCTGGTGGGGCGGCACTCAAAAACTGCAAAAACCCGGCCAGGCATCGCACGCATCATCCCACGCCGCGAGGTGCCATAGGGGCACGGTCGCAGATCAGTTTGATTGGAGCAGGGTTGGCTGTGTGCCTGCAGCATTGCTCTCTTTGATGGGCCTGTTTTCCACCATCACCACCATAAGTTGGAGGGGGAGGGGGTTCCCTCCTCCTCCTCCCCCTCCTCCACCTCCTCCTCCTCCTCCTGCTCCTCCTCCTCCTCCTCTTCGTCCTTCTCCTCGTCCTCCTCCTCCTCCTCCTCTTCTTCTCCTCCTCCTCCTCCTCCTCCTCCTCCTCCTCCCCCCTCCTCCAACTTACGTATGGTGGTGGTGGTGGTGGAAAACAGGCCCATCTCTCTTACTAAGAGATTTCTTCTTCGGCACTTTCTCATCCGACGAACGCAGCGCAGGTATTCTGTCTTGGACGATCTCTCCAAGGGTTTCGGCACCCTGTTCGTCTCCATGATCGTGAGACTCTGCGGAGGGGGCTGGGTAGGTTGGGCTGGTGAGAGGCACCGCACACATCGTGTCATGATCATGGGACTAACTATGCAGACGCAGTGGGTTCGGGATTGACCTGAATCCCAGAGGCGGACACAGTCTGGAGCACCTCCCTGCAGTCGGAACCCCGACCTCCGACGTCGTGTTTTATTAATACGGGGTCCCCGGAGCTTTCGACCCACTCCACAGGGCCGAAATTTCATTCCAGGTCGTTTTCTGACAGCCCCCAGATCGGCGACATTTTTATTGAAGGAACAGGAGCCCAGCGGCAGAGACCAGAGAGACGACGCGACACGACGACGAAGACGACGGACGACAGACCAACGACGAGGAACGTCAGAGTGAACCTTCGCGACAGACTGGAAAAACGACGACGACGACGAGGAACGACAGACGACGAACGAGCGACGACGACGACGACGGCCCCCGGATCGGCTACACGTCAGAGTGAACCTTCGCCAGGGCGAACTCTGGCGCGCAGCCTTCGGGAGGCGTGAATGGGCAGGGGGGCGAGCCCGGCGTGCAGGCCACCACTGTCGCAGCGCGTGCAGCGATCGACAGGCTGCGCACCAGCGGCCATGTCTTGCCTGAGCTCATGGCGCTGATGGCCTTGGCGTGAGCTGGATACGTGCACATTCTAGGCCTCCTAGATGGGGTCCGAGTGGATGGGGTCGGAGGATGGTGCCGCATCGCAGATGCATCGACGATGGGGCTCGATGCGGAGACCGATTTTCCCCACGCCAACGTCGCGGAGGCGTCGCCGATGCATTGGCGATGCGGCGCGATCCGTCGACCCCATCCACTCGGACCCCATCAGGAGGCCTCTAGACATGTGGCCGGGCGTCTTTCCAGTTCTCGGCCTCCTGCTGGCTGCGCAACCCCCCTGCCGCATGCTGGGCACTGGCCGAAATTTCGGTCAACTTCGATCAGGTGGAGATGCTGCGGTCGGCGTTTCGGTGCAACGCGCCTACTTCGGCCAGGTCTGGGGCCTTAGAGGGGCCCCAAACCCTCACATTTCCCGCTCTCGCCTCTGCGAACAGCACCGACGTCGAGAATGGACACCCGCGCGCGACAATGTGTTTCCAGCACGTGGCCTCCGTATGTTCCACATGTGAGTCCAGCCTTGCGGGCCTGGGAACTGGCAGTTTTTATTCCCTACCTAGGCTCTGCCTAGAAGGGTTCTTACTCTCTTAGCTAAAGGGGCCGAGCAATGGAAACCGCCCCGGGCGGTTCCCCCAGTCCCCGCCCCGCAGTTCCCCCAGTCCCCTGGGAGCTTTAGCCTTAGCTTTAGCTTTAGCTTAGCTTTAGCTTTAGCTTTAGCTTCATCTTAGTGTTAGCTTAGCTTTAGCTTAGTGTTAGCTTAGCTTTAGCTTAGCTTTAGCTTAGCTTTAGCTTAGCTTCATCTTAGTGTTAGCTTAGCTTTAGCTTAGTGTTAGCTTAGCTTTAGTTTAGCTTTAGCTCAGTTTTAGCTTAGCGTTAGCTTAGCTTTCGCTTAGCTTCAGCTTAGCTTTAGCTTAGCCTTATCTTAGCTTTAACTTAGCTGTATCTTAGCTTCAGCTTAGCTTTAGCTTAGCTTTAGCTTAGCCTTGGCTTAGCTTTAGCTTAGCTTTCGCTTAGCTTTAGCTTAGCTTTAGCTTAGCGTCAGCTTAGCTTTAGCTTAGCCTTGGCTTAGCTTTAACTTAGCTGTAGCTTAGCTTCAGCTTAGCTTTAGCTCAGCTTTAGCTTAGCCTTGGCTTAGCTTTAGCTTAGCTTTCGCTTAGCTTCAGCTTAGCTTTAGCTCAGTTTTAGCTTAGCTTTAGCTTAGCTTTAGCTTAGCTTTAGCTTATCTTTAGCTTTAGCGTTAGCTTAGCTTTAGCTTAGCTGTAGCTTAGCTTTAGCTTAGCTTTAGTTCAGCTTCAGCTTAGCACCAGCTTAGATTTAGCTTAGCTTTAGCTTAGTGTTAGCTTAGCCTTAGCTTAGCTTTAGCTTAGCTTTAGCTTAGCTTCAGCTTAGCTTTAGCTTAGCTTTAGCTTAGCTAGTTTAGCTTTACTGTTACTACTAATGCTGCTTTCCTAGGGGCTCCAACTCCTAGGTAGGGTCGCACTGGGATAATATTATTTTAAACCGTTTTTCAATCAGCCGTCTCTGGAAATTGAAAACGGTGAAACAACGACGAAACCGGAAACGGAAAAACAAATTCGTGGTAGCGGAGATGGATCAGGAACTGGAGAGCCTTCGACGACGGAGTCGGGAAAACAGCGGCGTTGGAATAGGCAAAGTTCAGGCAAACGGAAGCCGTAAAAAAGAGGCACGCGTGCCAAGGATCATATAATTACGGAGTCGGAGCAGTGGGAGATGGTGATGGCGCCAGGCTCTACTAGCATTGGGGAAGTGCCCGGGTGCCCCGACACGCCGGCGAGCGACCATGACGAGGCAGCGACGGATTGCAGCCCTCGTCGAACATCGTCATCTGGCTCGGCACTGCTGCTGGCATCGACGGCCAGGACGACACGACGACGACGACGCGAAAACGAAGCGTTCCCAAGCCCTGGGGGTCAGAGAGGCCAGGGGGAGGCCAGGGAGGCAGGGAGGCCAGGGCAGGGGGGCGGGGGCGGGCGGGGGGGCTGGCAAGGCCAGCGAGGCCAGGGCAGGGGGGCGGGGGACGCCATGGAGGCCAGGGCAGGGGGGCCACGAGGGAGGCCGGGGAGGCCAGGAGAAGCCACGACGGCGCGGCGGCGACGCGAAACGGACGCAAGCCGAAGTCCCCTAGGGGGAGCGGGGGAGGCCAGAGAGGCCAGGGCCAGAGTCCCCAGAGCCCAGGGAGGCCCGGGGGCCATGCCAGGGGAGCCGGAGGCCAGGGCTGCAGAGCAAGCCGAAGCCCCTGGGGGGGACGGGGGCCACCAGGAAAGGCCCGGGGGGGCGGGGGGCCAGGGGAGGCCCCAAGGCATCTCCAAGACACCCTCCACGGGCGCGCTCCAGGGCACGCCCTCCAAGCGCACTCTGCCCAGCGCACGCTCTAGCACGCACCCCCAAGGCATCCCCCAGGCACTCTCCGGGGCACTCTCCTGGCACGCCCTCCAGCAGGCACCTCTCCAAGGCACTCTCGAGGGCATGCTCCAGCCCGCCCTCCACGCCCAAGGGTCAGCCACGACGACACGACGGCACGACGGATGCAGGAAGTGCGAGACCACACCTGTAGGTATGAGAATGAACTGCCAGGTCGCTTCCAGGGCCCGCTACGGTCCAGGGCTCACCGGGGCTCTCTCTCCGGCCTCGCAGGGCTGGAGGAGGCCGCGTGCGCTCGTGCGCCAGAGTTCGGAGTCACTGTCGGCTGCGCTCGTCTGCCCCGTGAGCCACGCGAGTGGCATAGCCCCCCCCCCCCTGAGGGGGGCAGCCGATGTGTGTGTGTGTGTGTGTGTGTGTGTGTGTTGGTGTGTGTGTTGGTGTGTGTGTGTGTGCAGTCCGCTCATTTCACCATTACATCCTTATCTACCGCCGACGTCTCGGCTCAGGTATTGGTACAACGCATCGCTCTGCCTCATGCGCAGCGCACTGGAACAGGATTCGCCACACGCTGCCTTTCCGACCTCAGCCTGCGGGAGCACTGTAGGTTCGACGCTTCGGTCGCCAACCTGCATCCACAGCCGATTCCTCGATCTGCCTCTCCTGGTTCGTTTCCAGTGGGCAAGAACAAACGGCCGCGAGCCCGGGGGGGGAAACGAGGGGGGTGCGCGGGCCTCCCCAGAAAGCTCGGAAGGCCTCTCGGGCTTCCCAAGAAGGTCTCGAGGCCTTCCCCGAAGGCGCAGAAGACTTCTCGGGAGGCGCGAGGACTGCTGAGAAGCCCCGCCCCCGCACCCTTCTGAGAAGGCCTGCCGCCTTCCACTCGTCCCTGGGTTCGCCGACCACAGGAGTCGCGCCGTTATTCTTGCATCTCATCCTACCCTCGCCGATCCACCAGTCAGGCAACTCGACGACGGGGGGGGGGGGGTAGGGACCGGGATTCGTCGAACACGTGGCGAAATCAGAACCGTACCCCCGCCCCCCATCGATCCATGAGAGTCGATGGTTGGTGGGGGTAGGGGGCGGATGTTGCCACCCAGTCTCGGCCTCCAGGGGGGGGGGGGCTTTTCGGCCCCTGGGGGAGGGGCAGGGACAGACCCTCAGGGCTCCGAAAGCTGATCACCCTCCCCACGGGCCAGGGGGGTTTCGGGAGTCCCGTGGCCGCCGCGGATGGAGCAACATCGTGCCCTCGGCGTCGCTCGGACGCGCGCGCGCGCGCGCGCGCGCGCGTGTGTGTGTGTGTGTGTGTGTGTGTGTGTGTGTGTGTGTGTGTGTGTGTGTGTCTGTGTGTGTGTGTGTGTGTGCACTTTTTTCGGCAGTGCCAGCGCCAGAAACTCTGTATTCCTCGTCTTCCTCCTCCTCCTCTTTCTCCTCGTTTTCCTCCTTGTCCTCTTTCTCCTCCTCCTCCTCCTCCTCCTCCTCCTCCTCGTCCTCCTCCTCCTCTCCCTCCTCTTTCTCCTCCTCTCCCTCCTCTCCCTCCTCCTCCTCCTCCTCCTCCTCCTCCTCTTCCTCCTCCTCCTCCTCCTCCTCCTCCTGTTGGAGCATCTAGGACCACCGTGATAACATAAGCCACTCACGATACCATGCACATATGCGGGGAGCGGACGTCGGAGCGATGGCAGGCGTCGGGGGGATGCCTGGGGGGGCAGGACGTTCAGGCGGACCCGTCACGCAGCAGCGCCCTTTGGCTACGATTGGCAAACTGGATTCCGGGCCTGCTCGCAGGCGTCGTCGTCGCCATCGGGATTCTCCGAGCATCCTCTCCCAAATTCTTCTCAGCGGCAGGAGCCTGCTTCTTTACTTGCTCGTTCCCCCGTGCTTTTTCTTTCCGAACCGCCATCATACGTCAAACTGCGTCTTCTCTTGTGTCCGACGCGGGTTCAACGCGGACTCCACGTTGGCCCAGCGATGATTCGGCGCGGGTTCGGCGCGGCTTCGACTTGGATTCGGCGCCCGACGTGGGCACGACACGGACGCGGCACGGGATAGCGGCGCGATGGGACAGACCAAGGTCCCCCGAAGGTGCAGCGCCCCCGCCTCCTTCCCCGCACCTCGACCTTTCAGCAACCAAAATAGCACCAGGTCCTTTGCGTTTAAGTCGTGGTCGAGGCTATGAGCAGTCCCTGTCCTGGTAGGTCTGCGGGTATGGAGGGCCATCGTTCAGCACTCTCGCTCTGCGTGCCCAGACATCTGGCGCGTCGATTTTCTCGAGGCACGGCCCCCCGACCTCTCGACGACTTCCCCAGGGCCAGTTTTTCCTTCCAAGCCACTCTTTGACGGTCCCGAGGCCCGGTGACGGCCCCGAGAGGCCGACAACGATGCGCAGAAATCTTCTTCTACTGGAGTGCCCCCCCTCCCCCCCCACCGAACATCGACGAGCCCAACGGTGGTGACTTCGGGTCGGGTTGGGGTGGTTTGGCAACCCCATCCCCAGGATGGTAAAGCACCCCCCTTAACCTTTGTATCTTTTTATTCACGGGATTGAATGTGGTTCAGTTGCCACAGCAGGCGGGGAGCCGAACTTCATTATCCCCTCCAAAGCCCCTATCGTAGCTCTCATCTTCATATCATGCATAGCACCACGAATAATCCCTCCGAGGGAAACATGATTATCCCGCCTGGACCCCGAAGCGTATTGTTTCCACTCACCAGCATATGTTTAGGTAGTCGTGGGTGAGCCCCGTGCCCAGACGTCCCGCGCCTCGAACAACAACCGGGGCGGCCGGCCTGCGCGGCGTTACTCTTTGTTGCCTCTGGAGGCCAGGGCTCGGGCTTCGGGGCCGTGGAGCAGCGGCTCGCGGTGAAAAACCCGCTCCAGGGGAAGCGGTCGAGAGGTCCCCAGACATGCTCGCGTCATGGAAGAAATTACGACGGGAGGGTTTTCGTCGTTTTCGGCCTCCGGGGGCCCTCGCCAGGACACCGGGGCCATCAAAAAACGGCTCGGGGCTAAACTGGTCCTGGGGAAAGGGTCGGGACTTCCCAGCACCAGGACCGCGTATTGAAACATCAGGGCATGGGTCCCGCGCTTCGAACACACCGAGGTGCCAGATGTTAGTGTGCCCCCCTCGGCGCAGGACGATGTAGGTAACTCCGCTGCCTGTGCAATCATCCCACACGCACACCCGCAACTTGGTTTGCAAAGTCCATGCAGCGGCGATTGCGATGACTGCTTGGCGCTGGCTAGCGCCTCGCTGCGGCCGCGCTAACGCACGCAGGCTTGCGCGCAGAGCGGCAAGCTAGTCTGGCGCGCCCGACGCGGCCGCGGTGGCGCTGACCGCTGGGGACTCCCCAGCGCGTCCCGCAGACCGCGTTGGCGCGCGATCACTTGAGTGCGAGTTGGTGACTCGGGCGGGCGCGGTATGACGGCGACGTCGACAACGGCAGACACATTAGTTGGTGACGACGATGACGATGACGACGGCAAGGCCAATGACGGCGCCGAGGCTGATCAAGCCGATGGCGATGATGGTGTTCACGCGTCGGTGATGAAGGTTTTGGAAGTGTTCCGACATGCGCGCGCGGCCGACGGGCGCGAGTGGCCCGCATGGTGCTATTTGACATGGGTCGTGCCGCCCAGTGCTCGCGCAAGGGCGTTCGAATAATGTCAACTACGCGAGAGGCCCGTTTGGTGGCATGTGATGAACATGATGAACAACCGATGGGGTTCTGAAGAATTCGTAAGAACGCGCGCAGATCGTGTGTCTGTGTGTGTGTGTATGAAAAGTCATCCTGCAAAACAAAGTTTTGTACGATGTTTTATATCATGTTTTCGGGACACATGGTTTTGAACTCTTTGCGCAACCCCAGGGCGTTTGAAGGATTTCGGCGTGCGCGCGCGACGACGCGCGCGTTTTTTTTGGTTGTGCAGTTCTTGAACACGGATGAGGTGTAATGGTTGATTGTGCGCTCGTAGAGTTTGTCTGCAAAGGATGAAAGGGGGCACTCGATACTGGCTTGGCAGGAATAGCGTGACTTCATGGCTCAAATGAAAGAGGGGGCGGAACCACATGTAATTTGTACATGTCCAGGTGATCGGATAATCCCACCATTGGGTGGGGGTTGTATATCACAGTTTTTCTTTTCCAAAGAAGGGATTTTTTTACGTGGTGCAACCTATGTGGTGCAATCTGTGCTGTGCAATGCATATATCTCTATATATGTAGTGCAATCAGTTTCTGTGGTTGTGGACTGTCGGTTTTGCAACCCATGTGGTGCAATTCGTGTGGTGCAATATATATATATATATATATATATATATATATATGTGTGTGTGTGTGTGTGTGTGAACGATGACAAAGCTTGTGTTGTGAACGATGACAAAACTTGCCGCAGGCGCGATTTTTTCGTGCAGTCCAACGGTGGAGACGGGCGGCGATAACGCTGCGACGGGGCGGCGACAGCGAGCACATCGCCGCCAGAGTGACCAAATTGCCCAAACGACGGGCGGCGACGAGGCGGCGACGGGGCGGCGACGGCGACAACATAGCCGCCAGACCGCCCACACGGCCCAGTCGACGGGAGGCGACGATGCGGCGACGGGGCGGCGACGGGGCGGCGACGGCGACATCGTAGCTGCCAGACCGCCCGCACGATTAGAGGAGAAGTAAGAGCCGCTAAGGGCAAACATTGTTTGGGGAAGCGCCGCTGATACGCAACATATCAAAACATCATAATCGTTATGAGGAAATCATAATAATAATTTGAAGAAGAAGAAATTAGCCATCATACTTGGAATGCTACTAATAAGAAGAATAACAATAACAAACAAACTAATAACAATTATTTACGACAGTAATGGTAATAATGCTGATCATAAGTAAAAATTATCCGAGTGAGGGGGCCGAGCGGTCATTGTCCATGGGTGCGTGGCTGAAGTGGGGATCCGTGGTGGGGATTCTGCTTGTTGTTGTTGTTGTTGTTGTTGTTGTTGTTGTCGTCGTCCCCCCCGCGACCCGCCCGCGACCCACCCGCGACCCACCCCGCGACCCACCCCGCGACCCACCCCGCGACCCACCCCGCGACCCACGCCGCGACCCACCCCGCGACCCACCCCGCGACCCACCCCGTGACCCGCCCGCGACCCACCCGCGACCCACCCCGCGACCCAACCCGCGACCTACCCGCGACCCACCCCCAGACCCACCCTGCGACTCACCCTGCGACCCACCCCGCGACCCACCCCGCGACCCACGCCGCGACCCACCCGCGACACACCCGCGACCCACCACGTGACCCGCCCGCGACCCACCCGCGACCCACCCGAGACCCACCCCGCGATCCACCCACATTGCTTTAACAAAAAAATCGGCGCCTGCGGCGGGCTTCTTCAGAGCCTCGCAGACTGACGTCGTCCTCGCCGCCCCCTCACTCTCATCCGCAACTGCGGGGCGCTACGTCATAATAATACTACGAATCATACTAATATTCATAGTCATCAGAATAACCAGCGTAATAATAAGAAAACTAATGACAGTAAAAGACACGTATCATGAACAGAAATATTGGGAGCTCCGCGCGGATTTCTTCGAGGGGCGGGGCCGCTCCGAGCGCGCGGGGGTGTGGCAGGCGGCCGCGCCGTGGCCTACCAGATCTCCCTGCTGCTGTGGGTCGGCACCGGTGCCCGCCGGGCCGGCCGCTCGTCCTAGGGAGCAGGGGCAACGTTAGGGGCTCGAGGTTGGAGGTTCGAGATTTTGGCGCGTTTTCGTTGGTTTTCGGCGGTTTTTCAACCTCGGTGTGCCTTCCAGCGGCTGCGCTGCGTCGAGAGCGTTCCGGGAGTGCCCAGATTGACCCGAACGGCAGCCGGAGAGCCGAGAGTTATGACCCGAAAGCCAGTGGGCAACGTAATTGGGGGATGGGCCCAGGGGGGATGCATCGACCCGGAATCGCCCATTCATCGCCGATGGGGGCCTGATTGCCTGCCCCGCCCAGGAGCGTGCAGATGTGTTATCGGGGGCATATTAGCAATCTATCGGCGGCGATGTATCGCCGATTCTTGGTTGATGTTTTCCTTCCTGAGCTGTTCCCCCCCGATCGTTGACCCTCAATCCTGGGGAGCAGGGGCAACGTTAGGGGCGATGGGCCCGTTAGGATGCAACTCCTGGGAGGTTGAACACAGCATCGGCGCTGGCATCTCTCTCTCTCTTTCTCTTTCTCTTTCTCTTTTTCCCAACCCTCCTTGGTTGGGTATTCGTTTTGAATAGAGCAGTGTGGTCGCGTCCCTTCTCCTCCCGCCTCTTCCTGTCTTGCCTGCGGGGGGCTGCGATCTGCGAAACTGTCGCCATTTTCGAGGCCTGCTGGGGGGCCCAGCACAGTGAGGGCCACGCGCGGATTCAAATTAGACCTCGCCATCCCTGGGGGGCTGCGATCTGCGAAACTGTCGCCATTTTCGAGGCCTGCTGGGGGGCCCAGCACAGTGAGGGCCACGCGCGGATTCAAATTAGACCTCGCCATCCCTGGGGGGCTGCGATCTGCGAAACTGTCGCCATTTTCGAGGCCTGCTGGGGGGCCCAGCACAGTGAGGGCCACGCGCGGATTCAAATTAGACCTCGCCATCCCTGGGGGGCTGCGATCTGCGAAACTGTCGCCATTTTCGAGGCCTGCTGGGGGGCCCAGCACAGTGAGGGCCACGCGCGGATTCAAATTAGACCTCGCCATCCCTGGGGGGCTGCGATCTGCGAAACTGTCGCCATTTTCGAGGCCTGCTGGGGGGCCCAGCACAGTGAGGGCCACGCGCGGATTCAAATTAGACCTCGCCATCCCTGGGGGGCTGCGATCTGCGAAACTGTCGCCATTTTCGAGGCTTGCTGGGGGGCCCAGCACAGTGAGGGCCACGCGCGGATTCAAATTAGACCTCGCCATCCCTGGGGGGCTGCGATCTGCGAAACTGTCGCCATTTTCGAGGCCTGCTGGGGGGCCCAGCACAGTGAGGGCCACGCGCGGATTCAAATTAGACCTCGCCATCCCTGGGGGGCTGCGATCTGCGAAACTGTCGCCATTTTCGAGGCCGGCCTGCTGGGGGGCCCAGCACAGTGAGGGCCACGCGCGGATTCAAATTAGACCTCGCCATCCCTGGGGGGCTGCGATCTGCGAAACTGTCGCCATTTTCGAGGCCTGCTGGGGGGCCCAGCACAGTGAGGGCCACGCGCGGATTCAAATTAGACCTCGCCATCCCTGGGGGGCTGCGATCTGCGAAACTGTCGCCATTTTCGAGGCCTGCTGGGGGGCCCAGCACAGTGAGGGCCACGCGCGGATTCAAATTAGACCTCGCCATCCCTGGGGGGCTGCGATCTGCGAAACTGTCGCCATTTTCGAGGCCTGCTGGGGGGCCCAGCACAGTGAGGGCCACGCGCGGATTCAAATTAGACCTCGCCATCCCTGGGGGGCTGCGATCTGCGAAACTGCCGCCATTTTCGAGGCCTGCTGGGGGGCCCAGCACAGTGAGGGCCACGGGCAGATTCAAATGAGACCTCGCCATCCCTGCGGGGCTGCGATCTGTGAACCTGTCGCCACTTTCGAGGCCTGCTGTGATTCCCGTTTTCGAAGTGGCTAGGAGTGCTCAGGAATTGTAAATCATCAGCTTTATCAAGCCCTTTTCCTGTAGCTAGTGTCCTGCGAGTCTCCCGAATTCCGTCTGCAGACATATGTAACCCTCGCTCCGTCATCGCCCCCTTTATAAAGTATCCTAAACTATTTGCGCCCCGCTTTTGCGCAGGGGTTGGGTACGTCGCTAGGGTATTTTTTTATTTCTCTCTCTTTCTCTCTTTCTCTTTCTCTCTCTATGTATATTATTATGATTACATATGTACACATTTGTCTCTCTATATATATGTATGTATATAAATGCATATGTAACCGTACATGTGTATGCACATGTACATGTATACGTATACGCATATGTATAGGTGTATGTATTTGTATGTTTCAGACGTGAATGTATCTGCATGTCTATATGCATATGTATATGTACATGTGATTGCATGTGTATTTGCATATATACATATATACATATATAGTTGCGCAACTGCATTTATCCGTGTGAATGTATGTGTACATGTACATGCATACGTATGTGTATATGTGTCTATATGTGTAGTTGTATATGTATGATGATAGCTATATGTATGCGTATGCATATATGTACGTTTTGATGTATACGTGTATGTAAATGTCTATGCGTGTGTATGTCTATATGCAAAGGGTTATCTATATGTGCGTACATGTATGTTTACGTGTATATATACGTGGACATGCAACTACATGTTTACCTGCACATGGTGGAAGATTTACAGGCGCGTGGGTATCAGGAAGTCGATGATGTGGACGTTGGCGAAAAATGATGAAGACGACCTACTTGGTGACCTTGATCTTGGCGAAGGACTTGAAGGTCTTGGCCCTGAAGATGAGGATGGGGAACGAGATGGACAAGACTCTGGGGTAGACCTTGATCAGGGCATTACTTATTTAGTGATTGATGCAGACGACCTATATATTTCTCTTGAGGACACTTTGCCCAGGCCTGCGTACCATTTGCCGAGGATTTGCAAGGATTGCGTCTCGGTGGGCATCTACCTGGAGGGGGCCGTCGAAGTCCTAGATCGGACGAAGGACTATTCGCGCATCGGATACGATTTCAGGGAGAAGTCCAACGAGCTATTCGGTGAGGTGTCCATCGGCGGCGACATGACGGATTATCCATTGGAGCACGTGGGGGATGTACAGGCGCGTGTGGATCAGGAAGGAGGTGATGTGGAAGTTGGCGAAGAAGATGATGACGACGACCTACATGGAAACCTTGATCTTGGCGAAGGACTTAATGGTCGTTGGCCCTGAAAATGAGGATGGAGACCGAGATGGACAAGACTCTGGGGTAGACCTTGATCTTGGCATTAAGTATTCAGTGATTGATGCAGACGACCTATATATATTTCTCTCGACGACACTTTGTCCAGGCCTGCGTGCCATGTGTCGAGGACTTGCAAGGATTGCACCTCGGTGGGCATCTATCTGGAGGAGACCGCCGAAGTTCTAGATAGGACGAAGGGCTCTTCGCGCCTCGGGTACGATTTCAGGGAGAAGTCCCACGGGCTATTCGGCGAGGTGTCCATCGGCGGCTACATGCCGAGTTATCCGTAGGAGTACGTGGGAGATGTACAGGCGCGCGTGGCTCAGGAAGGAGTTGATGTGGCAGTTGGCGGAGAAGATGATGACGACGACCTACTTGGGGACCTTGATCTTGGTCAAGGACTTGATGGTCTTGGCCCTGGAGGTGAGGATGGAGATCGAGATGGACAAGACTCTGGGGTAGACCTTGATCTTGGCATTTACTATTCAGTGATTGATGCAGACGACCAATCTATTTCTCTCGACGACACTTTGTCCAGGCCTGCGTGCCATGTGTCGAGGACTTGCAAGGGTTGCGTCGCGGTGGGCATCTGGAGGGGGCCATCGAAGTTCTAGATAGGGCGAAGCACCACTTGCACATCGAATACGATTTCAGCAAGAAGTCCCACGGGCTATTCGGCGAGGTGTCCATCGGCGGCTACATGGCGAATTATCAATTGGAGTACTTGGAAGATGCACGGGCGCGCGTGGCTCAGGAAGGAGTTGATGTGGCAGTTGGCGGAGAAGATGATGACGACGACCTACTTGGGGACCTTGATCTTGGTGAAGGACTTGAAGGTCTTGGCCCTGAAGGTGGGGATGGAGATCGAGATGGACAAGACTCTGGGGTAGACCTTGACCTTGGCATTTCTTATTCAGTGATTGATGCAGACGACATAGATATTTTTGCTTGACGACGCTTTGTCCAGGCCTGCGTGCCATTTGTCGAGGACTTGCAAGGGTTGCATCTCGGTGGGCATCTACCTGGAGGAGACCATCAAAGTTCTAGATAGGACGAAGGACTACTCGCACATCGGCTACGATTTCAGGGAGAAGTCCCACGAGCTGTTCGGCGAGGTGTCCATCGGCGGCTGCATGGCGAATTGCACGTTGGGGTACGTGGGAGATGCACGGGCGCGTGGGGATTAGAACGGAGGTGTTGTGGGAGCTGGCGAAGAAGATGATGTAGGCGACCTACTTGGGGACATGTCTATCTGCATATGTTTCTGTTCGTGTATCTATATATATGTCCATGTGCATTGACGCATTTGTTTTGCGCGCATGTATACGTATAAATATATGTATATGCGTGTGCATTGATATGTAGAAGTACATGTCAATGTATATGCACATGCCTGCCTGCATGCATTTGTTTGTGCATATGTATACCGCATGCACGTGTATGTGTGTGCTGATGAATGTGAGTATATATGTATATATAGATGTATGTGTATATGTATACATATGTGCATCTGTACATTCATGATGTATGCGTATGTGTATGTGTACACATATGCAGCTATATATGTTTATGTTTGTGTATAGACATCGGTCAATGTAAATGATTAGATGGGTGAAACTGTACATGTGCATGTATATGTATTTGTATAACTATTTGTATATATATATATATTCATGAATAGGTTCTTGTGTATGCTCATGTGTATGTACACATAGGTATATGTATATGTATATGTGTATGTATAGGTATGTGTATGTGTATTTCTTTGGTTATATGTGTATGTTTCCGTGTATGTGTATGTGCATGTATTTGGTACTTTGTCATCGTATACGTTCATGTATGTGTGCATGTGCATGTGTATGCATAGGTATGTGCATATGCATGTGTGTATGGGTATGTATAGATATTGTTATATGTTTATTTAAATGATATTATAGGTATCTGTTAATGCATGTGTATATGTACATGTAGGTGTGTCTGTGGACGTATATGTATGTGTAAGGGCGTAGATTTTTGTATAGGTTGGTGTATGTGTATATTGATATTCAATGTATAAGCGTATTCATACTAACTACATATATGTATACGTTTTGTTCTATATGTATATTTATATGCTGGATTCGATGTATCTGTGCATGCGTAGGCATTTGTATTTGTTTTTTTGCTATTCACGTACATGTAAATACACATGTTTGTGTATATGTATATGTATGCGCGTAGGTGTTCTATTTTTTCGCATATATATATATATACAGACACGCCCGTGGTCGAGACCCCGCCTCTGATCGGGTTTAGTCCCGTTTAGTTCGGCTTAATCCATCCTAAGTCGGCGTGATCCAGCTGAGTTTCGGTAAATTCTAGGCGTTTCGCGTATCCCCGCCAGCGACGACAGGGGCCAGGTTCTGAGTGAGACAGTGGAGGCCTCTCCAAGGAACCTCCGCAGGACTGGAAACGCCGCCCGTCGCACCGGCGCGCCCAGACCCGCGCGCGCCCCGGCTGAGACTGCTGGGAGCACAGCTAACAGCGGCGTGAACAGGCGCGCTCGAAGCAGAAACGCGACAGGGCCGCGACCGGTCGTGCCTAGCACCCAGCCTCGCGCTACCGCCGCTGAGAGAGCCCGTGGGGGCCCGCCACACCGGGCCCCCCGAGGTAGGAATGAAGGCGCACGCAGGACCGCACTACGAGGTGCGACCCGCGTTAGAGCTGTGGGCAACACAGGCAGGGAAAGGTCCACCCGACCAGGCAGCATACCTCCCAACCCAAGGACTCTGGTCGACATCTGGGAGCGCTCCCGCACAGGAGAGGGCCCCCCCACCGGTGTCGCTGGACGGGGCGTCACATGGCGGGCGCCCAGACCGGCGAGTGCGGAGGGCGCGCGGATCCGCAGACCGCGACCTCGTCCAACCGTTTTCTCACCAGCCGAGCCCACGGCCGCCCCCCAGCCTGCCGACGTGCTCCAACAGGTATGGGAGCGTCACAGGGATGGGCGAACCGGTCTCTCTCCAGTCGCGCCGGCCGACACGACACTCGCTGCGCACCAGATTGCAGGTCTGGACAATACACGGATCATCAGCACTCTAAGGACTCTCCAGCAAGACGGCCTTGTCTCCAGCGGTTCCCCCGACGGTACATGGGACATCACGGGGCACCTCAGGCCCCACCCAATCATTGATCCCAGGCACGGGGGCGACTGGGCGCACGACTTCACCCAGCAAGCAAGAGCGCGCGTAGTCAACCCTCGACCCAGCCCGAGTGCCGCCGTGGGACCAAGCCTTCACCTCGTATCACTCTTCGATGACTGGGTTCTGGCGAGACTTGCGATTGGCGACCTCATGGCCAAAGTCGCCACCACTCCACGGTTCAGATCCTCCACCTTCGTCGAAATAAACGAGGAAGCGGCATCTCGGGTCGAGACGCGTTGGGACCGGGACAGCGCCATGCGCTTTGATGGAGGCCCCCCGCACGTGAGGTTGGGAGCTGATGTATGGGACCTCCTGAGAGGCGACGACCGCCAAAGTCCCTGGACCGACCACCTCAGAACCCTGGACCCTGGAAGTCTACTTGTTATCACAGCTGGGCTCCCAGGTGCCAGCCTTTCTGCAGCCAGCCAACACGGGGGACTTGACGGACTTGCTGGCTCTCAGGCAGTGCATTTCTTCGCCGTGCCGCTCCTATGGAGCGCCGCGCGTAGGCTACGACCGGATGTACGCGTCATAATATGCTGCGAATGCCCAGCCACGATCCTACCGACACACAAGCAGGCAATGGGCACGGCACTGGGAGAACTCCCCCCAGACTGGGCGGTCCGCCTAGATGCTGCACCCACAGTCGCCAGCCCGAGGGATCGACTATGGTTCAGCAACTGCCCTCCCGCGGAAGACCTCGTCACGCATCCCCGACTCCCCAGTCCCTGGGAAAGGCGATGGACATACAGGCCGGGCGGGCGCATCCCTGCCTGGACCCAGTCCAAGGCTCCCGCCAATGCCCCAGAGTTAATAGTTCCGTGCAGCTACCAGACGCACCCCCTGTGCCTTCTATGCAACGAGGACAGCAGCCACAGGTGGCTCCTCCGCACCCTCGCCGACACCAGGAGCGGCATTAAGAGCATCCTTGCGGAGACCGGAGCCGAGCGTAGCTTCCAAGGCTGCACAGAAGGATTGACGATCGTCTGTCACGGAAGAGAGCGTGAGAGCCTAGCCAGCGAAGGAAAAGCGAGGGCCTGGGCAGGGTGGCTGCTGGCGCACGGAAGAGAGCACGGGCTCAGGATCCCATCCCCAGAAGAACGGGCCCGAGCAGTGGGCCTCGGGTCCTACTTTCGGTCCCTGGACATCAGAGGGAAGAAACTCTACGACGCCGTGGGGACCCACCTTGACCCGAGGTGCCTCCAACGCAGACTCGCTACTGCCATCCTGGAGTGGAGCAGGAACGAGAACATCTCCGGCCGTCAGCACGAGGCCCCGACAGAAAGCCACATTTGGACTGCTTGGAGGCAGACACGTAGCCTCGCCGACAGAAACTGCCCCTGGGCGTCGCTCGCTGGGAACCCTTGTCCAGACGACATAGGCAGAACTATGCTGCAGCAGCAGCTCCTTGATCAAGGGCTGCCGTTCCCCTAGACTCGCACGAAGACCCAGGGGCGCTTCATCTTGCCCGTGGGTCTCCCCCGCTCGCGAATCTCGTTCCGGGGGCGAGAACCAGAGCCTGGCAACTTGCCTGCTCCTCCCTGAGCCGCGCCCTTGCACTGCGCAGCAATCGCACCGTCCGGCGGCCGCGATCCCTCTGGGCCTTTTTACATGCCACCCCCTGGAACAACCCCACCTGGGCGGATCTCTGTGGCGACCTCTCCCTTCGTGCCCTGGTCGGCGCCATCTCCAGCGCCACGCAGGCCGGTGCGCTCAAAGTGGGCTGCTGGAACGTTAGATATCTCAAAAGCACGACTGCTCAAAAGAACATGGTCAAGCACGCCTTCTTAACGCAGATGACTACCAACGGTAGGATTGGACTTATACAGGAGACCCACTGGACGGAGCACGAAGCTGCTGTCTGGTCCACCATGTTTCACGCTCGCACGCTCGTCGCCTCCCCAGCCTACAGCGGACCAGCCGGGGGCTGCGCCGGCGGAGTGGCGATTATCATTCCGCGCGGCGCTACGCTCCTCCGGGCGGAAGACCTCGTCCCCGGTTGCGCCGTAGCAGCCGCCATCAGACGAGGTGGCAGCACCTGCCGCCTCGTCTCGGTTTACCTCCCACCATCCAGAAAAGCCGAGACCATTGAGGCCATCAGACAGGCCATCGAAAGATGGGACGATACCCCTACGTACTGGGGGGGTGACGTCAACATCCAGTTGGACAACCCCAGAGACGGCGAAACAGACGAGGCTGCGGCCCTCGCTGACCTGCTCTCACTGACTGGATCAAGCGTCTGCCACTGTGACGGGCCCACCAGAGTGGACGCTGACAGTGAATCACAGATCGACATCGTCGCGTGCCCTTTTCGACAGCTTGGGGCCTACGGAGTCAGGAAGGCCTGGGAACCCTCGGTCTCCGACCATGCCATCCTGTACCTGGAGCCACAGGGCGCCCCCAGAACCCGCAGGGACAACGCCATTCGTGCGGGCGAACTACGCCTACTTCCAAGCGAGGCACGCACGGAATTAAGGACCCTGTACTTCTTCTTCGAGCGCACATTCGGGCTGCCTGACGTCGATCTGACCGGCCTCCTACAACCCGCCGACTGGGTCCGCCCGGCGACCCCTGGACAGTTCCCAGCCAGCCACTGCGACAACGACGACGGCGAAGGAGAAAGAGAGCAGGAACCCTCCGCTCCGCCCCCGGCCCCTAACCCGGGTGATGATCATACCGCCCCGCTATTGCCTGCCCTTCTCTCTCTCTTGGTCGCCACGCCATGTCCGCTGCTATGCAGGACTGGTGGAGGAAGTGGCGCAGAAGCAAAGCCATCCGCTCGCCAGGGGCCCTGCTCGCGGCTGCAGTAAGATCGGACTCCGCGACGCGCCCGGTGGGGGCACTTGCGGCTTGGCTCGCTGAATATGAATGGGACGGCAACGACTTGACACCTCAGCAGGCGGCCCGCTGGCTACGAAGGTGGGACAACGACGCGGCACAGAGACGCGCCGCCCGCCTCACTCCCGCGCAAAGGGGCCCCGGGGTCGAGCGCCCCGCTCTCGCCT